TTTTGTATTTAAAATAAAAATACAGTACTGTACAATAAAAATAAGTTTTACAATGGCTCATGAATCTTTATTTAAAATAAAAACAATAAACACAAGTTATTTAATCATTTTACATTTTTAACGTAAAATAAAAATAAAATAAAGCAATGTGGAAAAATATGAAGGAACTACAATGGTCCTTCTACACTACAATGGAATTATCTAGGCTTAATTCTTGCAAAGTTATCTATCACTTCATTGTAATCAAAATCAGTAGCCAACTGTCTTTTTCACTGGAGAGCAAATCTAACACAAGCAGTCTCTCCTCCATTGTAAAATGAAGGTATAACTTTGTACTTGAGTCGACTAAGGATCACTCTGCAACTGTGTTAGATATTGGTACAGTCTGAAAAATGTGGTACAATGTGGACAGATTAGGATAAATGGAATACATGTCATTGGAGATCATGAATTTGAGTACTGTATATTGTTGGTCAGATACCTGTCCTCTAATGGTTTGGTCATGCATCTTATAGTGAGTGAAATGGCTCGAGTTTCTCATTGATTGGAAGTGTTGGTAAATTTGTCATTCATCAGGCACATGCATGTCAGCTTAGCTCTCTACCTCACTCTTCAGTAATGATGGCTTAGTCTGTACTTGTTTATCAATTTATGATTTATAAACACTATGAAGTTGTCCATAACAATAATAGCTGTGGAATATGGACAGCCTTGTAGCACTTCAGAACTCATAAATTGGTTAATAAATATAAAGCAAACATAATATGAGAATAAAACGTCTAGTAGTTCTTCATATAAATACTTGACTAGTCCCAACTTGGCTTTAACATCAATGTCTAAAATATTATTTTGATAATTTTGATGTGTATTGTAGTGATATATGTACTGGCTTCTTGTTTTCTCTTGATAATTAATTCATTTTCTTGCCTTTCCAGTTTGATCCAGCTTTACAGCGCTTCATGTCCATGAAAGCTACACAGTATGATCACTTCAAACCTACACCACGTGCCTCACGAGCTGGGTTCTTCTTGGTATTTGTTCCTATAGCAACTTTTTGCTATATGCTGAAAACTTCACGTGTACGTTCTCTTAATTGCATTTATAGTAAAAAAAAAATGTGCCTATCACTGTAACATTATGGCTTACAAGTAATAATTTATAATAATAATAATTTTTATTTAGGTAAGGTACATACATAAAGAGATTTTACAAAGTTTGTTGGCTTTATAGATAGAGCTAGTACATACAATGCCTAAAGCTACTATTACGCAAAGCGTTTCGGGCAGTACTTACTTAATATTTATTTAGTTGAAGATAATTTTGAAATACTGTACATGGTGTACTGCATTGTGAGTTGGTAAACTTTAATACCGATTATAATCTATTTTAATAAATTTTTTTGCCTTTACAGGATAAGTTTGAGCACAAATGTCGCACTGGCCAAGTGTCGTATGCCTCCAGAGAATTCAAGTTCGTATAACTACTAGTGAAGCAAGAAATTGTTTAATCTTGTTTTGAGGGTTTTCTTGACCACATTATGGTTTTTTAAGAGAACTTAAACTGTACAGTGTATTGATATTATAAATAAAATAACCATATGTTTTTTAGGTTTCTTTAATTTTTCCTGGTAGCGAGATTGAGTTAATTTGTCGTTAATTGTGGTTCTAATTAACTCCAAGTATGGATGCGATTATATTTAAGAAAAGCTATACCTGTACAGTATTGGTGTGATTGTACAGTGTGATAGAACTAAAATGAGATGTACAGTAGTAAATTATATTATGGCTGTTAAGTAATTCTCTTGTGATTAATGACTATGGAGGGGGGAGTTAAGGAAGTTGGAGCTCAATTTATGTAAAAAGTAAGTTATAATATTTTTGCTAATCTATTGTAATATTATATCATCCTTAAAGATTTCCATTACTCATCAGAGTTTTTCTAGTTAATTCAGGTACTACTTAACTCCTTTAGATCCTTGTGCATTAAAAAGTTACATGCAAAAAATCAGTTTGAGAAGTGGATCAAGATGTAATTTACTAATGTGTTTGCTAGTCTTGTAGTATTTGAGGCATTGTGTAGGTGCAATACTGTTTGTTGAATTATTCTGTGGTGCTTTTATTTTTGGTGGTATCATACATTTAGCATCTCTGAAACTGTGACATATGATCTTGTCTGCCTAGTACAGGAATTACTGCAATGGACTGAGTGGGGGCAATCCATCTCAACCACTTGGATTTGTCAGTACAATAACAGCCTGGTTCTTAAAGGTTGGCATTCGATCCCTGGTCATCCAAGTGGTTGGGTATGATTCCTTCACCTAATTCTCATCTCTTCCAAGTGCTGTATGATCATAGTGGTTTAGTGCTTTCTCCTCATAATTACATGTTAACCTGCTGCCTCTCCCATAAGGTCACTGTTGTCAAGTTATTACATGTTACATCTTCATGCTGCATGTCAGAATTTGTGGTACATAGCATGCAGATTTGTTTGTCTAAAATTATAATTTTTTTACTTTCACAGCATGAGCGAACAATTTGTATTAGCCGAGTTTATAGCAGGTAGTATAGGATACTCTTCAAAATTGTTTTGTGTTATGAAATAAATTACAGTACAGCATTGGACTATTTCTTGAATTACAGGTGCATGTAACCATCAATTCAATATGAAGACCAGTTCTTTACATATTGCCTCTGGGCCAACTCCCCTCTCCCTTACCAACAGCAGTAACCAGAAATCCTCGTGCATGCCTGTTAGTACAGATATGCACAAGGATTTCATTATTTCTTTCTGATGCTGTGATTGAACAGATTTGATAAGTTCATTTGGTGTGATTATTGATTATAATATTCGTCTGACAAACCCGTGTCACTCATTGAAGCAATAATTAGGCATGGCATGACTCTCTCATTGCCACTCCCCACAATGTGTACCATTATTCATTATTGATATGGTGTAAAGTGAAGCATTAACAGATACCAAAATAAATTTTGTCAAGGCAGCACACGATGCCAATACAGGCAAAAATATAACCACCCCCCTTTCCTGTGCTAAGAGCTGCTGGTAAAAAAAATGGCTAACTTACTTTCATCACCACCCAGTACATCTTCAGCTGATAGAAAATATTATGCCAATTATTCTTTTTCTGATTATGCCTTAAAATAATGGGAATGTAGAAAATTAACAAATTTGATTGTTCAGATATACTGTACAGGTTGTTTGAACAAGTGACTGCCCTGTAGCCTTGTTTTCCTTCCATGTAAATGTCGGAAGCTACAGTGGCTTTGTGGAAGGCAACATGCCTCTTTGATAAAAGGGGAATAGCAGCAGTTGTAATACTGGTGATTCACAGTTGCATCTTGACCAGATGTTCATTTTCTTTTGTCACTTTCCAACAACAGTTTTAAAGGATAGGAGTTATTGAAGTATATGCTGGCTGTCTTACTAAACTTTTTATGTTATTAAAGTTCCAGTGAGAATTACTACGAATGTGATGTTAAATTTATGTATAATGACTGATCATCCTGTCCAATGATTTGTTAGGACATGACCCTGAGAGCACCATAATATAAAGTATTTTGAACTGGCATTCCATGAACTGTGTTGACAAAATACACTCCCTTTTTAATGTTATAACTGAGAGAAACTTTGTAACAAAACTGCTCAACCAGCATAAATAAGATAATGTACTAATGAATAATAACTAATAATAATGACATTACAGTAGCTTTTATACTTACATAACTGTATATCTGTAATGTCAAATAAAATGAACAGCAGCTAAAATGTACTTGTGGCAATAAATGATAAACAGTATGGTATACCTTGTACCTAAAGATCTAATTAGAAATCAAGACAGTGTGCTTCATAAATAAATTACCAGATCCGTCTCGCCTTGGGAGATCACAATTGTAGACACCTCTGGGCAGATGTCTGCAATGGTAGAGAATTATTGAACATCTACTGGGATTCCGTATCCTCATTTTCAATACCCATCACCCTTAAGCAATCGATATACTGTACCTGTATGAACATTACCACCCTTAATGGAAGGTCCTTATAGTATAGTGTCGGGTCTACGTTCTCAACTCATATTTGAGGGGACCCGGGCTAAAGTCTCCAGGCAGACAGAAACAGTTAGGCACATTTCCCTTCACCTCGTGTACCTGTTCATATAGTAAAAATAGTTACCCTGGAGTTAGACAATTGTGAATTATATCCAGAGAAAGGTTAGTAGTTGCAGCCTAGAGGGACCTCGATAAGTCTAAAGTACATGGTGGCGTCCTGTCCCTGACAACTGGAATTATATTAGACTGTTGCTGCCAATAAGTCTTAGAATTAATAATCAAACTGTTTGTACATAACTCGGTGGACTAGATAAGATTGGCAATAATAATAAAAAAATTACAAGCTAATCAATATATTATGCTACATAGCCTTCCCGACTTGGTGCCTTCTTCGATAATTACTTATAAATAAATAAATCTTAACACCTTGAGTCAATATATGTTAATCTCAATTATTTAATTACTCATGATTTATTATTGATTTATATATGCAAGAGTTCTTACATTCTTGTAAAATTACCCATGCATGACTGAACCAATAAAAAAATGAACTTAAACAACCTAAATGAGCCAATATATAAGCTTAAACACCCTAAATGAGTCAATAATTTTAAAATTATTGTTTTATTCAATAATTGAATAAATTATTTTCCCCCATTTATTCAAATGAGGGGGAAAATCAATAAATAATTTTAGCTCATTTATTATACACATATCCATGCTGCAGGTTGTAGCGGTCAATATACAGCAGTATAATATAATGCTCTTCAACACGGAGGATACGGATCTAAATTATAAATTTACCAACAAAATTATTCTGCATCACATGTAATGGATATATGATTTTCCCGTTACATAACAAATAGAATACCGACTAATGATAAATATAAACTGGCAGCACTGGTAAAAATCTTAAGGTAGTTGAATAAACTGAATTAAGCGGGTAGTGCTGCTGTGTTGTTGTGTTGTCGGTGTTGATGGCGTGAGTGACCCACGTGCATCAGCTGCCCGAGTCCTGCTCCACTTCTGTTCCACACCTGCTCCACACCTGCGGCTAGTGAGGCCATCAGGAGGAGGAGAAACCTAGACAGACAGCACGTATCATGACAAGACCTGACCGCCAAAGAGAACTAAATTAACTGCAGCAAGACATCACCTCCATTGGGAAGCAGCAGACCTTGATGTAAACTCCACAAATCAAAGACTAGACAAGAGATTAAAGATGAGTGAAAAACGAAAACGCGTGGGGGTTTCTGAATTGCAAAAAGATATTTTAAGTGGAGATGACGAGAAGGTGAGTTGGTATAGCCCTATGGTACTTTTGAATTTGCCCGAATTTATTTAAGGTCCACCATCTGTGGTGGTCTCAACAGGAAAAAAAGTTTTTACTAGATTCTAGCAGGCAATAACAAATTGCCTTGATAAAGACTTTCATACTAGTCTATAGCATACCTGGATACAGGTCACTGTACTCAAAACAGTCCATCGACAGATATAAATCCTTCCTCAATTAACCTAAGGTAACCCGGCCTAACCTAATGATATACTGTGCATTATTTAAACAATAAGAAAACAATTTTTGAAATGCCTAAAATTTGCATGGTATGCGGGCCATGCATACCTGTACATGTCTATTAAATACCCATATACAGTAATTACAAGTCCCAGCTGTGTCTGGGTACAAGTGACAGGATGAATAACCCAGCGGGTTTTCTTCCTATTTTGGGGTGTTGTACATGCTGCTATGGCGGTGTGTCCACTCACAGGATGAGTGGCGCTGCCCAATAAACTCTTCCCTTGAGGCAAAATAAAAAAAATTAAAATTACAGAATCTAGGATTTACATAATTAAAATTTCCAAAAGTTTATATATCCACTGTGGAAAGGCAACATATTTATATCATTGAACATAACTGGTCCACTACTATTCAATATCTTCCCAATAAACAAAAATTTTTGCCAGTACTGTACAAAAGTAAGTGTTCAAGAGAAAATTAAAAGACACTTGTGCAAGGACTACTAGACCAACTATGTTGTAGTGGATATGAGGGCCTGTGGGCTGCTTCAAGCAACAGCCTGTTGGATCAAGTTATGACATATCAAGCATGGCTCCATTCTAGGGGTCAGGCTTGATTAAAAGAACTACCAGAACTAACTCCAGGTATAGTCCCAGCTATTTTTTTTTTCAAGACTGGGAAAAAAATGGAAAATGTAAAGTATTTTGCTGATCTTAAATAAGTTTACATAACCATATAATTATTTATGTACTGTATTCACAATTCTGTTCCCAAAAAAGTACCTCCCTATATATCCCCTAAAGCAAAATTAACCAGCTAATATCTATTGTGGGTTCTGACAAGATTGTTGTTCTTGTCCTTGTTTATGCCCCAAACTCACTTGAAAATCTTGATCATGTTCCACCATGTTCTGTGTCTCTCTCCCAGCAACTGCAGATTGAGAAACTAAAGTCTAGAAAAGGTTCCTGATACTGGACTTTGGCTGGGCCCTGTCATCCTCTACATTTTCTCAAATGTATGGTCCATTCTGTAGTATGGTGACTAAAACTATAGTGTGCAGTCCAAGTGAGACCTAGCCAGGGAAAGATATAGCTAAAGGATGATATTTGTGTGTATTACTAATACTTCTTATAAATCCCAAATCACAGTTGGTTCTATTTTGTGCACAGATTTTTTTCCATGGGTCGCAGCTATCCATGACCCGAGTCGCAATGTGATCAATTCATGACTAATATTTTTATGGTATGCAGCATCACTCCTTTCCTAGGTTACTTTTTGCTTTAGTAGCTTTATTGATGGAAGTTAGTTGATCGATATAGAATAAATCTTTGTTTTGGTTAAGTTTGATCAGGGGTACTTATGTTCAGTTAGCTTAACTATGGGTGAGATTCACAATTCACAATAAAGTTGAATTTGCTATGCTTTAATATGACAACACCAAAAAAAAAATCTTGCTAATTGACACTGTTTTACTGCTTTTGCTATAGTGGAATACATTATTGAAGTTATACAAACTGTTAGGTCCATGTTAAACAATCTAGTTTTGTTTGTAAAGATACTGTATAACCAGTTAATTACTTGGATGGCAATCATGCATTATACAGTACAGTATATCCTCACAAAGTAATTCAGACAGCATGATATTTATTAAATTTTTATTCGGGTAAATTAATGCATTTTAATTTGTTAATTGTGCCTGCACCTCTGAATCCTCATTTACAGTATGCAGCATGAATACATTACTGTATATTATTTTTGTAAAATTGTATGTTGTAGATTCCTATAATAAATGTAAAGATTTCTAATATTTATTGTTCTTCAGATCAACTACATGCTTAATATAAATACAGAAGAGGATGGTGATTCATCTGATGAAGAGTCAAGTGATTTTGATGAGGATGATGTAGAGGATGTTAGTAATGGTGAGGAGGAGGAGGAGGATGAGGATGACAGTGGTGGCAGAGATAGTCTTGATGAAATCAGCTCAGAGGATGAAGATGAAGAGGTAAATGAAGGAAATGGTAGTATTGAATCGCATACATCACAGGGAAAACTAGATGAAAAATGTGATAGAGACAGTGGTGTTGATGATCCTCCAAGTGAAACAACACAAAATGCAAAAAATAAAAGTAAGTTTTCTGAGAAGTCAAAGAAAACAAGTTTACAAATCACAAAGACAAACAATACCAGTAGTAAAAGCCAGAATAGTCTCCAGGATTCATCAGCACCAGATGAATATGCTGAAGATTCTTCAGATGAAGAAGATCTCAGGAACACAATAGGTTAGTAAAGGACAATTTCTCAGTATTTTAGCTGTACTGTGCAGCTATATATATACTGTACTATATACTGTATTATAATAATTGGCATATTTCTTTTAATTTCTAAGGTTCCAAGAAATTAAACAAAATATTTTGCTTAATTTCTTGGAATCTTAAGAGATATGCCAGTTATTAATAATTTGAAGTAGCTGGTATATAATATATATGTCCTAATACATATTATTTGAAAAATGTACCATTTTGCTTCCTGCTTTCTCCCACAGGCAATGTGCCTATTAAATGGTACGATGAATACCCACATCTGGGCTATGACCTTGATGGCAAGCAAATTGTTAAGCCGAAACGTGGTGATACACTGGACAACTTCTTAAACAGACTAGAGAATCCTGACTTTGAGTAAGTATTTGTTGTGCCTGGCATTAGAATGATGACATTTATAAAATAAGAGATTCTATATTTTTAATCAAGATTTAGATTGTTAAAATACTTTTTCTATGGTTTGAAGAATTTGCCAACATCTATTGCTTGTACAAAGATACAAATTGTTTGACATTTTGTTGTACACCATTATGTGAATCAAAACTTAAGGAATGGGTAGTCATCATGGATGTGCAGACTTTATCTAATTGCCTGCAAATTTGATTATTTACAACACATGACAAACTAACAGAAAATGCATTAGGGAGCATGAAGCACCATTCATTTTGGCACAGTTTGCTTGCTGGTTAGAGGATGTCTGTTAGTGAACAACATTGACTTATATTTTGTATAATTAATTAAATTGAAATACTGTTGAGATTGATTTTAATATACAGTAATCTGAACATATTGTTCACAATTTTGTAATGTATCTGGGTCACAATTGATTATTGTTACTGTATCTTAACTGTTTATTGATCCAATGTCCAGTCTTCAGTTCTTTCTGACCAGCGCTGCTTGCTATGTCACTGGTTGCAATATGGAGCCCACAGAGGTTATCCAAAGTGTAAATGCAAGGTGTCCCTAGACACCTCACCCTTTGCAAGGTGTCCGTTCCCGTTTGTAGGTAAGCCACCAGTGACAGAGGCCTCCAAATGAACTGCTGGATATTGGTCGTGTCTGCTAAACCTGGATTTAGGCAGGGAGCTAGAGTCTTAGTTCACATAAAAATTTCTAAATGTAATTGTTAGCATAAATATGGTGTATTAATGAGGTACATAATTTATATCTGCTTAACACTTCCCTGGATTTTCGACATGGAATTACGGGCGTTTTGCTTAACCGCTTGTCGGATCACGACGTAAATTTACGGACCGTGTTTTATATTGGGTACTGTATTTACTACTTGATCGACTTGGGGTTTGTATGAATATGTTTGCCATTAAATTTTTGTTTTCTCTAATAGGCACAGTGCCTATTTGAGAAAACGGCAATGTATTGTAACTTAGAGGAGAGACTATTGAATTGTTGACACAACGAGGGTAATCGCGCACTCCACACACTCTTGTGTTGGCCGCGATCATGATTCTACATTTATATACATATGTCTGTGTAGAGAATTTTATTCCGAACACTATACAAACAAAAAAACCGGAGTGAATCAAGTATAAACTTGAAAAAACATGAGCAAAGTAAAAACTTTTTACGCTCACGGGTACAAACACGTGTAAGATTTTATTTGCCGCAAATTTATTTGACGCTCTGTTGGCCAATTCTACCCATGTTCTTATAGAACTTTCTATTGCAAACACATTGCTATAAAAATGCAATACGTAGCTCGAGAAATAATGTCATGGCAGTGAAATAAGTATAAACTTTCAAAGCGCTGCATCACAACAGTGTCATCGCTGCTGAAATCACAGCTAACGCTTCGCCCAGTTCCCACACTCGTGCGGAACATAATTAGACATTGATAGGCATATGTCTGGGTGCGGAATTTTATTGCGAGTTCAGTGATATCAAAATAAGCGCTGTAGGATGACTGTGAGGCTGGCAATAAACGAAAGAGTATGAACATTTACTTCCTGTTTGGGTGTCACGGCGAGTCATCTTCGTGTTTACTTACTTCATGGTGGGATAGCAAATGCTTTGGTGACATTTTATGCATATGATCTTGTAGAGAATTTTATTGCCAACGCATTGATACCAAAATGAAAAACGTAGCTCGAGAATTGATGTTAGGGGCGTGAAAAGATTATAAACTTTTTTGTGTTTACGCTTGAGCGCCCAGAACGCCGCGCGCACAACCCGCTTTTTTTTTCAGCAAGTGCCGCGCGCACTAAAGTGTTAACTGTATATGTGCAAGTTTTTTTTTATTTTCATTTACTTCAAGAAGCAGCATACACAAAAGTAATCAGTGACATGTATCTGTCCTGCTGAACAATACTTATCCCTTTTGAGGTGCACCCTGTCTTAACACTGGTTTATATGACGTCACTATACACTGCCACAATTACAAAAAGATTTCAGGAATTCCAATGGGAATACTCTGTATTGATTTGCATACACAAAACATAAATATTTCCTACATATGGTATAGCTACTGAACATACTTATTGTCACTATAACCAACATATCCACTATACTCGGTAGCACTCGTGAGAATCCTCATTCGATGCTGGACACACCAGATTTGAGAGACTAGATGAGAAATACCCACATTCTCTCACTTGATGCCTTACTCCCTCCTAGGAGCTTCCATTAGGGTGTGCCCACACCACAGCTTTCTGTAGGAAGCTCTAATCTATTGCCACTCATTCAAGCAATATTCATGTATTGTACCTCTACAATACAGATGGTACTAAATTGTCCCCCAAGCTAGGTGCATTCTTTTCATAATTACTTAACTTTAATACTGTATATTATAATTAATTTACAGTGGCATTCCAATTATTCGAACGGCCTTCTGAGGTAAATCATTTGGTTGCTCCCATATTAGACAGGTGTCTGCTGGCCCCTGAGACAAGATCAATGTACAATCAGGAAGAGTAGACATTCTGTTTCAGTGTACCTAGAATCTCTTCATTTGGATCATACTGTTGCAAGGGTGACACCTGGATAATTTTCAATTAGGCCTGGAATGACCTGGAGGGTTATTTTTATAAACTCAAATCACAAAGACAAAAGCTCTTCTAAGTACTATTGTGTGTATCATCACTGGAAGCACTAGGCAGTACTCATTTGGCCTGTTCAGATGATACATGCCTACACCAGCCAGGATTCCTCAAGTCTTTGCATGTCCACTTATGAAACCTGTACATCTTTCCTCAGTCATGGCAGCTTAGTCTGTATTTACCAGTTTATCAGATTACAAAACTTCATAACCCAAGGTTATTGTTATATCCATCCTAGTGCTTTAGAGCTCGTATTCAGTTTCATAAATGCAAACTAAGCTGCCATGATTGAGGAAAGATGTACAGGTTTCACAAGTGGACATTTCAATAATTTATATCCCTTGTGGTTTCACAAGGGAGCCGGTGGCTGAGCGGACAGAACACTGGACACGTGATCCTGTGGTCCCGGGTTCGATCCCGGGCGCCGGCGAGAAAAATTGGGCAGAGTTTCTTTCACCCTGATGCCCCTGTTACCTGGCAGTAAATAGGTACCTGGGAGTTAGTTAGCTGTGACGGGCTGCTTCCTGGGGGTGGAGGCATGGTCGAGGACCGGGCCGTGGGGACACTAAGCCCCGAAATCATCTCAAGATAACCTCAAGATAACATGTGAAGGCTTGTTGCCACCATCGCTCTGGTGGCAACAACCAACCTGAAAACAGGTTTCCCTTACTTGGGCTTCCTTTTTATTCTTCTTGATTAGTTCACAATGCAGTTCAGGCAAGCATAAACCAAAACCTCTCAGTTAGGGGACTTTAATTAATCTCTTATACTTATTTCATTGTGCCGCTGGACTTGCACTATTTGTGGATGCTTTTCGTCTGTATATGCAACAAAAGAATAGAGAAAAGTGCAGAAGACCCATTTGCCCATGCAATGCATCTGATATTTAAACCGAACCAAACTGACTCATAAATATGTCTTAACATTTGCTTAACCCCTGCACTGCGCACCTGTTTTTGGCAAAAACTTCATAGTGCAATTGTTAAGGACATATTTTGGTTATTTTTATAAATGTTCAGGTAAAGTTTAATGTCAAAATGTTTTCAAACTCAACCATTTTCATTTCAAAACACAAAGAGTGATGAAAACATTAAAAAACATTAAAATATAGTCTAGTTAAAAAAAAGATAGTACAATTCTCAGAACGAGATTTCTCGGTTGGCGCAGCACAGTGGTTAAAACAATCCAATGATCCCATGTTTATCATACCCAAAAGAGTAGATTTCAAATTGTATGCAAATTTATTTTATATTTGGTATACCTTGATATGTTGTAATGTGAATGAATAAGCTTGTATAGTAACACTTATGGTACTTTAATACCAACAGTCGAACTGTCTTTGATAAGCAGACTGGTCAAGATGTTCGCCTCAGTGATGCAGACTTGGATACTGTTAAACGTCTTATGTCCCAGCAAGTGCCAGATAGCAGTTATGACTATTATGCTCCTTGGGTTGACTTCTTTACTCATGAAGTCATGGAAATGCCCTTGTCGGGTCGCATTGATTCCAAGAAGTCCTTCGTTCCCTCCAAGGTATGTGTATACTGTATTTGTCAAGCCAGATGCCTTGAAATTATATGCAATGCAATATTGTATTTATTAATATTTTATTATTATTATTCACTATGTTTGGTACTTTCTCAGCTTGGCATAGATGGCTAATTTCCTGTCTTTCAAATTTTAAGAAATACCTTTACTTGTATAGCATGAGGCTGCTTATGTTGCCAAGAGAGCTGAACAGATTCGAAGAGGTCTCATAAAATACACTCATAAAAGGGAAGAAAAATATCACTTTTATAATCTGTGGTCTGACTCTGATGAAAAGCGGCGGAGAGGGATTCACAACCATCTACGAGCACCGAAGGTTAGATTACCAGGTTAGTAATAATTTCACATTTTGTCAGTTCATATCTGTTTAAGAAGGTAGTTGTAGATGTGTGAATAACCCATGGTTTCTACAAAAAAAGTAAAGCATAGATTTCACATTGCTTCAGCTTTATGTTGGATAGATGGCAAGAGTGTGGGGAGGATTTTTACCTACATTTCCTTCCTTTGTTATACTGTATTACTGCTGTTTTGATATTGCTGCATTTGATGGTGTATAAGGTATTTATGTTCATATAAAAAGAAATGATACCAAATAGTGGCAATCTAGAATATTATGAGCATTTTGGAGTTGATAGAAATGTTAAATGCTGTGAAAACAATTTTATTCAGAAATAAAGAAGAATGTCCATATTTGAATGGTTAGTGGCCTCACTGGTACTTTGCCCATGGATCTTAGACCTGTGATTATAAAGTACAGTTTGTTGTTACAGGAAAGTTGTCAAATAATTTTCAAAGATAGGTAGGTATAACACAGAACATAATACCATATACATACGGTATTATGTACCGTATATTACGGTATTATAATGGGTGATACAATTATCTGGCTCAACACTGCTACAAGCAGTAGCCGGCAATCACTTGTGCTGTCTCGTCTCGAGTACTGCTCAGTACTCACTTCCCCCTTCAGAGCAGGAGAGATTGCTGAAATAGAGGGAATACAGAGAACATATACGGCACGCATAGACGAGATAAAACACCTAAATTATTGGGATCGTCTCAAAGCTCTCCAAATGTACTCTCTAGAAAGGAGACGAGAGAGATACCAAATAATATACACATGGAAAATACTGGAGGGTCAGGTCCCAAATCTACACAGTAAAATAACAACGTACTGGAGTGAACGATATGGAAGAAAATGCAAGATTGAACCAGTGAAGAGCAGAGGTGCCATAGGCACAATCAGAGAGCACTGTATAAACATCAGGGGTCCGCGGTTGTTCAACGTCCTCCCAGCGAGCATAAGAAATATTGCCGGAACAACCGTGGACATCTTCAAGAGAAAACTGGACGGTTTTCTAAGAGAAGTTCCGGATCAGCCGGGCTGTGGTGGGTACGTGGCCCTGCGGGCCGCTCCAAGCAACAGCCTGGTGGACCAAACTCTCACAAGTCGAGCCTGGCCTCGGGCCGGGCTTGGGGAGTAGAAGAACTCCCAGAACCCCATCAACCAGGTATCAACCAAGCGCTACAAATTCCATTGCCTATATATTTGAGTTGATATTTCGGTAAGTATTTCAATTATTGACTTCATTTTGTTTCGTATAAAATTTTAATGTGGCGTTCAATGGCCAAAAATTGGCAACTTTACCCTAGAATCACGTGTAACATCTCGTGTTATACACTTGGTCAATTAGGAAATATAAATATATGATTTCTTCTGTCTGGCATTCTATAATTGTGTATAAATTAATATTTAAATTTTTTATTTCAGGTCATGGAGAGTCTTATAACCCTCCTCGTGAATATTTGCCATTTGACAGAAATCCACCTAAAAGTCTTCGCCAGGTTCCTGCTTATAAATTATTTATTCAAGTGAGTGGTAAAATTAATATGAATATAATGTCAGAATAATGATTAAAGTTGAAAGTTGTTATTGCCAGGAGGCCTAGCAGCAGGTGTGAACCTGTGGAGTATGATTTTTTCTTCTTCATTTCTCCCTACTTCCCCTTACTTTTAAATTTTCTCACTCCCCCTTCTTTGCGTTTCTTTATTTTTTTCCCTTCGTGTTTCTCGCTCCCTCCCTTCCTTGAAACCTTTTCCTACTTTCCCTTTCAATACTTCTTTTCCTCTCTCTCTCTCTCTTCTTTCCCTCATTCTCTGCTCCTTTTCCTATACTTCTTGGTGCTCTGTCTATTTACTGGATGTGAACTATACTTGGTTCCAGACTATTGATTCACAGTAATTATTATTTAAAAATGATATAATCTTGGCGGTGTTTCTTCTGCAGTGTTATCTTCACATCTCGGGCAGCAGCAGCTTTTCAACTTTTCTAATTCTCGTAACTGTTAATAACTTAAAAAGTTACTTTGTTACTTCTGCTGCTAGCATGAAAATATACATTTCACTGCTTTTGATACATTTGAATATTATCACTCTTGCCTTTGGTCCTAAAGTGTCAGTTATATCAAAGTTATTCTCTTTGAGTAATTAAGGATTACTGGATTATTTCATACATAGGTTAAACATACAGTATATATGAGCTTGGTTGGGTATAAACTGGAGCTACTTACATGGGCCAATAGCCTGCTGCACCTTCTTCAATTGTTATGTTAGGGTTCCTCTTGTAATCTAGCACTCTGCCTTGCCACTACACTGTTTCATGTTCTAACTTTTCTGAAAAATACCTTAATAAATTTTTAGCTTATTCCTACATTTAACCTTAGCCTACATTTAAAAGCTTTTTGATATTGATCGTATGAGCATAGTTGATAATTCATTTTGACGTATTCTTTCATTACTCTGCGTCATACCTTAACCTTATTTGTGTGTAACTTGAAAAACAAAAATCACTGTACTGTACCTTGAATGTTGTCAATTCACTCGTTTCTAGGGTCTGTTCAGCTACATAATTTTTATTAAGTAGATAATCATCTATAGACACTGGAAACTTTTATTCAAAATGTAATTGTGTGTGTTCCATTTAATGTGAAAGTTTTGCCAAAATTGTTGTTACTACAAAATGTAATCAGAACACCTTTTGAAATTGATCGTAACCCTCAATAATTACCATTTCAGGATCGCTATGAACGTTGTCTGGACTTGTATATTGCACCACGGAAGAGAATAATGAGGGTTACTGCTAGTGCTAAGGTATGGAAAGGCTGTTTATTCTTTGACATAATGAATGTAAGGCTTCATGAATTTCCTTCTTCAACCTATGACCTTAACAATTTTGGTTATGTTCAGTTGTTCTAGAGTATGTAATAATTTTACTGTTTTCTGTTTCATCACTTCATATTCTGTACTAAAATAAAAATTGAGTTTTGATTTTTATATCAAAATATTTAGATTAAAATATTCATTTTATATAGTTGTTATTTTTAAATTTGCATTGACTTAACATATATATAGTATGACTGCATAAAATCGAGATTTTGCTAGTTTAAATTGTCCATAAAGAATGCTACTATAAGTACAGTACTGTACTTGGAAGTTTAATGTTACTATTCAGTCAATTCTTAGTTTTCACAAATTTGGCTTATACAGATTCACAGCCATAAAGTTTGGGGTTTGGTACCAAAATTTGATGAGAGTGGAGGGATTTACAGGTACACAGTAACTGTATTTATAATTTAGTTTACAAGAGTTCAAAGACATCATTTATTTATACAAGAAAAAGAATATTAGTAGGCTAATCTTTGGAAAAGAACTTTTGATGAAAGAGTAATTTTTCCATTATTTGTCCTTTATTAGCATATCCATGTATGTAGTCTAGGTGAAGCAATCTACAATGAGCAAATATTAATATAGTATATTGCATTCTAATTACTTTTACCAGGATCTCATACCAGTGTTACCAAAGCCCCAGGACCTACGGCCATTCCCTACCATGGAGGGACTGATTTTCAAGGGCCATCGGTCCATTATTAGGTCTATCTCTATTCATCCTCTTGGGAAGTTCCTTGCTTCTGGTTCAGATGATCAAACTGTAAAAAGTAAGTTGCCAATTTTATTTTCTTATTCATTAGTAAAAGTGCAAGAAATATTGTGAACATGCAGACATGTTTATAATAGTATTAATCACTAATTTGTTTCCAGTTTCTCTCTGACTGAAAATAAGCAGCTTTCATTAATACTTTTGCAATAGGAGAATCTTGCTAAACTCTGTCATTCCCATGGTCAGGATTATGTACAGTCCAGAAGGTCAATATTTCACATTATATTGAGATCATACTGATGCAAAGGAGAAAGTCATGGGACCAACTTCAATCTGAAGAGGAGTGCACAAAAGTTATAGGAAGTGTGTAACATAACTGACATAGAACTGAAATCAATTCTGAATCTTGGATGGATATGGACATATCAGTAGGCATTTTGTAGATTCGCTGAAATGGGTTATGTTATGATTGCCATCTGATAAGTCTTCCAGCTTCAAGAGTCATTTTTACCCATCCAGAAAGATTGCAGATGGCCCAAACTGTGATTTAATTTAAAATGGAAAGTTTTATACACCATCTTGCATAATATTTGGCTGTAAAAAGGTAAATTGTGGCAAATGCGAAACAAAATGCCACCCGGGTCGGCGGTGACACATCCGGGAACTTGGTGGAGTGCAACGACACATGCCTCAAGCTCTTATAACTTGAGAAGTGACTGGCGGGGCTAAGGTGCTCAGCCAATCAGTGACAAGCTTTTTGTGATGTCATCGGCAGGCACCGATACATGCCCAAGTCCAGCTTACTGTTCAGCTAGACTTCGGACAGCGAGGTTGTGACCTTGGGTGCTCTCGCAAAAATTGGGAGATTTGGATCTTGAGTAGCGAGTTTAGCCCAGAAGAGAAGCAACAGCACTCTGACCACATTGAGGTGCCAAGGGAACCTTTTTAGATAAGGTCGTATGAGTCGTCAACGAAGGGACCTTCTGAGAGTAGAAGAGACTATAGCATACTATTTTCAGTGGAGGGAGTTGGAAGTACTGAGTACCTTCATTTGGATCTTGGTGAGTCAACGCGAATGGACTGACCGTTGAAGCCTAGTGACATTCCCGACCAGTGAGCGTCGGAAGTACAGTAGTAATGACTATGAATCTTCAAGGAATAGCCATTGAAGAGGCTAGTGAAGGCACGACCGAGGTCACGGTAAGCGAGTGCTCCTTTTGATTTTCACCTGTGAAGAGGCAAGTGGAATGTCGACTGTGACCCTAGAAAGGGAATGTTTTATTTAACTGTGCCAGCAAAGAGGCTGTGAGCACCCATTTGTCGACATTAACCATTTCTATAGTAACCAGTGAAGTGAGCAAGTGCAGAATCGGTGCACTGGGCACTGATGTGAGGCTGCCGGGAAAAAGTACATCCCACGAAGCGACGAGTGTTGGGGGAAATCCAGTATCTACACCAAGTAGAGGATCATTTTACTCGTGAAACTTTGTCTTCAACACAGGAAAGACTAAGGGCTTTACTGACAATGAGTGGGTCAACATTAGGCAACGTTTCCTGAACGTGAATGCTAGTTAGCGAGTAGAAGGCTGGCACCTATCATTGGAGCCCCCACAATGTCCTGTTGAGACCCCACATAAGAGAATATCATTTGTTGGATGTCATTGGTCTGTATGCTGTGGGACAAAATCACCAAGGAAAGAAAAACTAGCTAAGTCAAGAAGAGACCGAAAGATATATTTCAGATCTTGGCTGAAGAGGGAGCAAATGCAAGAAGGATCACTATATTGTTAGTCTATCAAGATAAGATAAGACCAGGAGGATTGCTGGTATATTATAAGAAGAGCCAGCCATGGCACACAAGATTTAAATAAAATAAACCTGCTCACACTCCCATTCTGATCATGGGAGAGCATATTTTGCTCTATGCCATAGCTCATATGGGAGAAGTGATTCTTCAAGGTGAGCAGGGAGCAATGCTCTCATCTGTATTTGAAGAAGATTTAACAAGAAGCCATCTTCCCTGTACATCTGCTTCATCTTAGTGTTCCTAGGCATTTAAGTCTTTCTTGGATTACGTTGCACATGTGAGATTCAAGGGAGTAAGGAAGGTGGTAAATATCAGTGTGCTAGAGGACTGAAATTGCTACAATATATAATAGGTCCAGAAAGTTTTTCAAACTTTCTAATGCACGATTGTCATTGTGTTTCTTACTGCAATATTGAATAATTTTGCTTTGTTTGAAAATAGTTATTAAATTTCAATAGGTATTTAATAGTTGTGCTATGCCTAAGTACCAATTGTGATTAACAAGTATCCATTTCCCGTATTACTGTAGTCCAATTAGTTCTGGACTGGCAGCAAGCTTTATAAAGAATCTTTATTAGTGAATGACTATAATCCATAAAGGGGAATATTATATTTTCAACTGTAAGCATGTTGCGTGAAAGCCAATACTGTATCAAGCTGTAGGTAAAGCTGACAAATTTCTCTGGGTCAGTAATGTCAGTCATTTGTAGTAGAACCGGTGTAATTGAATTCTTCTTATGCATCTAGATCAGGTAGGTTTCCTAGTAAGTTTATGTAGGGGTGTGACATACACATGATTGTATTATTTGCTCATGTATGCAAATTGGAAAAAAGAGAGAATTGGACACAAATCTGTTATACTGTATTGCCTGGTCACTTGAATATTCCACCCCTGTGTGTGCTTGGTATCTTCTCAGGGTTGTAATGTTCAACTCCATTGATTGCATTAACAATAGAAACCAAGAGTATTAATTTAAAAGGCCTTATTTTTTTCAGTTTGGGAGATCAGTACTGGGCGTTGCCTGCGGAGTTTTGATGTTGAGGCAGCAGTGAAATGGGTGGCGTGGAATCCCAGTAATAAGCTTTTCTTATTGGGTATTGTGTTAGAAAACAAAGTTATCTTCATGAACCCTGAAACATACCTAACAGATAAGGTCATTGTTCAGCAGACAAATTCTGTGTTCAAGGAGGAACCTGATCAGGGCGACTACATGCGTAAGTTTTAAGATCAATTTTGAACACTATATTATTCTGATATTATTCTGCATGGGATGCTTTACATTTAAGTACGCTTAGCACTTAATGCTCATGAAAATGATTAATTAAAATACTGCTGATATTTTCATATACAATAAAGGTGTGCATTTTGAAGGCATATCCAAGATATTAGCAGAGTTAACCCACCTTTAGTCTGTCCTCCTCATCTTAGGTTTTTCTATGGTTATATTGCAACTTTCTCTTTTATGAGCTAAGGTTCTCCACATGTACATAATCTGGCTGCTACACTTTGAGTAAACAGCTACTGTATTCCTTGGCTGCAGGTTTAGTCCATTAAGCAGAGCAAAAAGAGTCGAGGTGGGCAGGGACAGCTTAGACACTTGAGTATAAGAGCTAAGTACCTGTAGTAAGATAGAGATAACTTTGTCATCAGATGATCTTGAGGAAGAGTCTGTACATTTATGACCATAAATGGAAAACTGCAGATAAAGTTTGTGGAATATTTGCATAATGATTCTGAAGACTTGTATGCTATTGAACAAGTTGAATTTCAGATCACAATGAATTGATAAATTGATAGCTCCTGTTTCCTGAGCATCTGTAGGATGGTTGAGGAATCTTCAGGATCCACATGAGATGATGACTTATATTGTGAGCTAAATAAATGCTTTCAAATTATTAGGCCATGTGGGAAAAGATAGAGATTTTGCTGAAGTGAATTTTAAAAAATTGGTACAATAGGAAGTTAACAACATCCCAAGTTGAAAAATTGTTGGAATATACCATAAATGAAAAAGGGCCTATGACTGTTAAAAAAAAAACCAGTAATTGGGAGAATAATATGATGTAAGGAAAACATCATGTGGCCATCTATCATAGAAGAGTTCTTGAGGAATGAAGTGTCGGAGGTGAAGGTAGATGCTATCTAGAATCCTACAAATTTAATTCACTTATGTCTCACTCGGATGTGTATACATCGGATTACTTTAACATGCTCTACTTGTATAAATATATTATTAAACTGTAGGAACTCCATTATGAATATTTATACTCAATTTCATACATACACTGTATGTGTATGATGAATTAATTACAGCACTTTATTTCATTATGCAGAACCTGAGCGTGTGAAAACAGCTGTGACATGGAGGAAACCTACAGCAGATGAGTGGGCCAAGGGCTACAGAACTATTCTTGAACATTTCAGGAGTGTGAAACAAGTAGGTTTTAAAGTTATCCCCAAAGAAATATAGTTTTTACTGTATAATTTCTGTATGTACCCAATTGCAGACTGATGGAATTACAAACAAAGTGGTACAAGAAAGGGCATAAGCACAGTAGTAGATGCAGAACTGATAATATAATGCATAATGTAATATTTTAAAAAAGATACAGTAATGGGTAATAAGAAATGATTGGATAAACGTAAGTAGAGTAGAAACTATTTAAAATTAAGGTCTAATACGTTGTCCTTGATTTTAATTTTCAGATAGTGTGGCACAAGCAGGGTGATTATTTTGCCACTGTTGTTCCTGAGGGCGATCACCGATCGGTCCTCATGCATCAGTTGAGCCGGTGGCGGTCACAGGTACCATTTAACAAATGCAAAGGCCGTGTTCAGGCTGTTCAGTTTCATCCTAAGCTTCCCTTCTTGTATGTTGTGGTAAGTTATTTAGAATAATTTTTTCTGTGAATTTAACCTTTTTTTTTATTCTCTTTTAGGTCATGGCCTGTATTTGGTATTGATTTGCATAAAATGTACTTACTTTGGATAATGAGGTCCTTTCTTAGCATGATTCATTCCTTCCTCTTACCGTTCAATCAGTGACTACTTATCAGCAACTATGCGAAAACAAGTTCTGGCACTTGTTGCACTTTTATATCTTGTGACGTTAAAGTTCTATGCTGTATGTTATTAAAGTTGTTCATGTAAGTAGCTTCAATAACCTCTTTCAATGCATTCCATTTGTTGGCAACTTGTCCAAGGGTATGAGTCAAGTTAATTGTCAGGAGAGAGTGCCAAATCATTACAATTGTCTAGTAAAGATAAGGATTTAGGATAAGACAGGGGAAAGAAATGGTACCCAACCACTTGGACAGTTTTGAGATTGAGCACTGACCTGCAAGAAGTGAGACTATTGTTGTACCGACCAGTTCAAGTGGCTGGGCGGCCAAGGTACGAGTATTTCCTTATTTCCGTTTTGCATTTCTTTTGAAAATTATGCAAGATATTGAGGGGAATGGAGAATGATCGTAGCACATCTGCTTTTTCTCTCCTAAAGTGTTGTAACATTAGGCTATGAAGACAGGTTAAGGGTGCTCAGTCATTTAAATTCTGGTAAAGTTTGTTACAAACTATGTACTTCCTTGTGGTTCATGAGGTGCAGATTCCATGTAAGTAGTCCATACACAAGTAACCATCTTATGTGGTCTTGGAAATCACTCTTGGTTAGATTTTTAAATGCTGTTATGTTATCCAGCTTCCCAAGTGTGGCTGGCATTATCCTAGTTACATGCGTTTCTGATGTTAGTGCTGCTCTCATGCCCTCCCTGCTTATTGCACTCTCCCTACTCATTTCACCACTTTTCCTATATCTGGGGAGCTTTCCCTTAGTATGTGCTCTTATGTAGTTGGGCAAGTATAGGTAGCCTGCAATTAAATGAAAACCCATTGTTTATGCAATACAGAAGCAGAGATAAATTTATTCTCATTTAAGAAGTGAAGTTTATAAGGAAAATATGAACTAGAGAAAGATTAAGAAGCTTACTTGAAAAGCCAAAGTCCATTCACTTGAACTGGTCAGTAGAGCGAACGCCTTGTATCTTGCTAGGCCATTATTCAATTCCTGATGATCCAAGTGATTGGGCACCAACTTCATATCCCAGCTCCTTGTCCTGATGTACCCCTTTCCAAATACTATAGTCATACCAGCTTAACACTTCTATATAATTACTGTACCTTGAAAATCCTAAATAAGGTGGTCATAAAGTCTAAATAATATGCATGAGAAGTGCTACTTGACATTACACTTTCTTCACTTTTTTGTATAGTGGATACTCTTCAATTATATTTTGAACAAATAAAAATCTAACCTTTCAAGTTGTAAAACCTCATTGTAAAATTTGACTGCTAATGACATGTTGTAAAATGACTGCTAATCTGCAGACACAAGGCCATATTCGTGTGTACAACCTACAAAAGCAGAGAATTCTGAAGAAAGTCCAAGCCAACAGTCGCTGGATCTCATCAATTGCTATTCATCCTGGTGGAGAGCACTTCCTTATTGGTGGATATGATCGCAAACTTAACTGGTGAGTAATTGAAGATTTTTGTCATTGTTTAATTAAATTTCTATATAGGTGACTAATATTTTGTTTATTATAAGCATTTTAAACCCACAATCTAAAGAGGGGAAAGGCACGTTATTGGATATTGGCATGAGAAGTGCACAGGAATGAGAATTGAGCATCTATTATCTTCCACATTATGTACTATACAGTACTGTCATAATTATAGAAAGTAATTATATATCAGACATAAGGCTTTTTTCACTCTTCTCTCTGGGCTTATGGTGTCTCTTCACCCACATAAAAGTGGTAAATGAGGGGTGACAAATGTAGGGATTTACCCATGTACAGTATAAAGATGTGATAGCAAATGTGTAGCATTTTAAATTGTATCTAATATATACTGTACAGTCAACCCTTGATTTGTAGGAGGGTTACATTACTGGAAAGTGACTTGCAGAATGAAGTTAATGCCATAATGGGAAATATAATTTGTCCAGGTACCTCCAAAATTCTACTTTTTTTTCAATTAAATGGCTGTTCCCATGGATGCCATATTACAATACAGTACTCGACTGTTTCATGTTCTAGAGGCTTTAAAGGATTCAGGATTGTAATCCAAAAGGGCACAAAACCCATGATATTTCTGTAGAATTCAAAGTGGAAAAAAAATGGTGTTTAAAACTGGACACATTTGCAATTCATGGCAGGTGGTGATGACTTATTCTCTTTAGATCCAAAGTTATATCGAGGAGCATAAACAGGAGCTACAGTACAGCACAAGCACAGAACTTGCTGTTCCATGCTGTCAGGGCAACTTAGATTATAAAATGCCAATGGATAAGTGGCGAGTTTAGTCTGGAGGAGCTTCTTTCCAAAATCCTTGGGATCGAGGACCTTCCTGTGTTAGGGTGTTTCCACTCCCTGGTATACTTTCTGTCCATGAGCTAGAATTCTAATTAACATTTTCCTTGCCTAGGACTGAGGCTGTGCCCATGAGGTTACCGATCTGTTTACTGGTCAGACCAAAATGTGTTTAAACAGATCAAGAAATGCACCTAGCAGCTGCTGTGCTAATGTATAATTTAACTAAATCTGCCCTGAACCCCTTGATTACCCATTATTATTTGAACCAAATATATTTATTAAATAGTGTGTATCTTGCCTTCTTTATCGTATTGGCATCCTTGGTGATATTTAGCGCCCTCTGATTATTTTGCGTATTTGATGGTGCTACATAGCCTTCCCGGTTTGGTGCCTTCTTTTGATAATTACTTACTTACTTACTTGCCTTCTTTATTTCGAATGTGAATGTTGTATTGATATATGAACAATTATCAGGTTTGAAATGGAATGCACCAGAAAACCACATCTTCTGCGATATCACAAAGCAGCTGTCCGTAGTGTAGCATATCATCGCAAATACCCACTATTTGCATCGGCTTCAGATGAAGGACGGGTTATTGTTTCACATGGAATGGTCTACAAGTAAGTTTAAACATTCTCAGGTTGACTAAAAATTATCAAATAATGTATCAAAATAAATAGTTTCATTTGTGAATGATCAGGCATCACAAGAACTGCTTGTTGTGGTGATGTATGTGGGCGTGTATTTGTGTATGCAGGAAAAAAAAAAAAGTATACTGTACATTGATAAATTTGAGTGGCAATAGGTAGTCTTTCAGTAACTAGGTAGTTTGTTCGAATTGAGCAAGTGGTTACCATTTTGCATGAGGCTTTAGCTTGGGTTGAATCTTGAAAACTTTCTGAAGTCTTCAGTAAATTTCCTTGCAGACCTCCTGGCAGTTTGCAAGACCATTTCCCTCATTTTTTTATCTTCTCTTTTTAATGTGATATAAAATTGCTAACATTTAAAGCAAGATTCATGCTAATCAGGTTACATAATTAAATACATAGTATGAAAATAGGAATACATTTGTATAATTCATGTGTGTACTGATTTAAGCATGAATAAAGCTCAAATACATTTTAATTAAAGAAATTAGTAATTTGAATCAAAGTATTACTGTTTTAGTAACGGTGTAGAAGACAAAAATTTAAAGCATTGCCAGTATTGGACAAATATTCATAGTTAATTCGTTAGTGAAAGTAGAGTAGTACAGTATTTGGGGAAAACTCTTAATCAAGTTTGGACATTGCATTTCGTTGAACATTTACTCTGCAACAAAACTAGAGGATATATTTACTGTATTTGATAGTTAAAAAGCTGCAAATGGTTTAATATGTATAATTTTTATTTTATAGAAAATAGATTATCTTCAAATTAATCATCATGAGACTGATTCATATGGAGATCAGATATGTGTAGTGATGAACATGGGATGAAAGAATGCATGATAGTTGTTTATAATGGATGAGAATAAGCAGTATTGTATAAATACTGTAATGATGTATTATTTATTTTTATACAACTTTCAGTGACTGGCTGAAGGATCCTTTCATTGTGCCTGTTAAGGAGCTCAGGGGCCATAACATGTTTGATGATTTGTGTGTGCTGGATGTTACTTGGCACCCATATGAACCATTCCTCTTCACCTCTGGGGCCGATGCAACAATTAGGCTTTGGCACTGAGGAGTAATGATATTGGCAAGCGTGGATATCATTGATGGAAGATTCGTATATATAAAATAAATAACATTAGTGCTAGATAAGCATAAATGAAGATCGAGGTATGAGGCCACTTCTCGAGTTATAATGTACATGCTGAAGATTTGGCTAACAAGATTTAATAAAAATTTATATAAATTTGGTTTCTTTCCTTAACTGGCCTAATGTACTTGTTTTTAATCAAGGATGTATAGTCCAAGTTCCTGAGCCTATTGAGCTCTTGTCTTACAGTACAGTATCTACATATGAAGCCATGCTTGGAGTCTACCTCCACCATTCCACTCTTAGCAGTATTGTATAAATCTCCATCTTAGCACATTCTGTTTATTTACTACTCTGCAATGTCTCCTTGTCTATAAAAGAATACAAAACCCATTACATGTGTTTTGTATTTGGTAATTCCACTATACTACTTTATTCCAGTGAATTAACATTTAATTTCTTTATTCTATCCTTATAACCCCAGGCTGTGGGATAAGTTTGCATCACTCCTCTGAACCTTCTCCATCCTTGTTGTGTGTGTGATATAATAAGGACTCCACATGAGTGGTATACATAAAATGTCATCCACACTTCCGTGGAAATAAACATTCCATTCACCTGGGTTCTAGGAGACGCGAACTGTGGACCCCCACGCGTGTGAGGCCGAAGCTCTTGTCAACTGAGCTATTGAGTTGTCTTCATAATTAAAATTTCCAGAAGCAGCATCCTGCTGCCAAACTAGAATTTTCGACTTTACCTGACTGCTACTGCTGAAGCTCAGAGGAATTAGTGATCCACGCCTACGTCATATTAATTGTCACCCACACTTCCATGGAAATAAACATCTCATTCACCTGGGGTTCTAGGAGTTTAACAAGTTATTTTTAATCAGTTCTGAATGTGTTTGAGCCTTTTTCATCATATGTAAACGTGTTATGTTGCTTTGTTTATCAACTATGAACGGATTCTTTGCCTTTTTCGTCGTATTTGAATGGGTTATGTTATTTCTTCATTAAGTCGAGTCAAGAAAAAGCATAGAACCCGTTTAGATATGACGAAAAAGCTAAGAACCCCGTTCAGAATTGCTGAAAAAGTAACAAAACCCGTACAAGTATGACGAGCGTTATTATTTAGCGGAATGCAGGGTGATTGCAAATATTTGGAGTTTTAAATTACGACCATTTATACCGAAAATATGCAAATTGGTGAAAAACAGCGATTGGACATATTTTGCCCAAATCCTCCCCCTCCCCCTGCAGTTTTCAAAATACGATACCTGTCGAAAATATGGCTTGAGCTGCCACGATCGCAGTCAGTTCAGATACAAATCAATGTTGAGCATAATCTTGGCCAATCAAGGGAGGGAATTATCAGAAGCGCCAAGCCATTACGACTATATAGCACTTGGAAGGGGTCAGGATAAAGATTTGGGATGGGACGGGGGAAGGAATCATGCCCAACCACTTGGACGGTCGGGGATTGAACATCGACCTGCATGAAGCGAGACCGTCGCTCTACCGTCCAGCCCAAGTGGTTGGGCAGTCAAACAAGCTATAAAAAAGTGTCGCCAAAAGAGAATTATCAGTTGAATTTAAAGACAGCAGAAGAGTGCAAACAGAAACAGATCCATTGTTTATCGGAATTATATGAGACAAAAAGAGACACTTGTATGAGGCAAATAACCCTCATAGATAGAGGCAATAGAGTGATTGGTTAATGTGCAGCTCGTAAACAACTTGGCTATAAGTATCTCTGGCAGTTCAGTGGATCTAGAGGACTTGCTGTATAAATTGAATGGACAAAGACTAGGACGCGCTCAAGCATTATAACTTAGTGTGATAATCTAATAATTTTTAGACACATCTAAACGTACGTTTGCGTTAAATGGCTAATCACTTTATTGTTAATGGTAAAACACTTAAAATTAATACACTTTATCTTTACCTTCATGTAGATAAAGGAGAATATTTAAGAAATTATAAACTGTGTAGCTTAAAATCATGAGCAACAACACTTCTAATACCCTGAAATATTCAGTGTTGAAAAGTGTCAAGTATTACCTAATTAACTTGGCTCAGAAGTGTTGTATATGTACTTTCATAACGGTGGCAATGCAAGAAGTGTTCCGTTATCAGCAACAATTATAGTTAAATATAAGGTGTACAAATAAACTGCAACATTGTCAAATAACACACTGAGAGACCTCTAAGACCTGCCAAGTCCTATGTAATGCTTTTGCGCTCCTGTTCGCAGGATGAGCAGCAGACGCGCAAAAACTATTCTTCGCTGGCGGCAACAGTCAAATAAAACACTAAAGCCAAAATTCGATTCTGAGCGTGACCAAGACCTCTCCTAAATACGTGGAGCGAGAGGGTAAGTCATGACTCAAATGGCCAACCCGGATGAAAGAGTTTACATGTAGGATATAAACATGATTCTAAGGTACATAAATCAAACTCTGGACACGAAACAATAGATTCAAACTAAACAGGTTAGATTTAGAAAACAGTAACAAATAGGATTGACCTCGCATAAGCCAGATTCCTTTATTCTGATTTTTTTTATGTTCTCGTAATGTGTGGAGTCTGCCTCCATCCTCCCAACATTACCAGCCGCGGCCACTAACACCCACCAGTCCTATTCGTCTCTCGTAAACTCACCCAGCAAGAAAAAAAAGGTCTTATCCTGAAAATCAAGGGAAGAGAGCGGTAAAGGGGAAGAGGTGTGGTTATACTCCCTACAGCGCAAGTGAGAGGGTAGTGTCCCTGCTCTCACCCTGAGAGATACACACCCACACTTCTCCCTTCATACTCTTCTCACCCTAATTCATACTGGCCAAGATCTCCGCTTCGATCCCTTCACCCTGCTTTCTCTTATTCAAGATAAACCTATACTGCCTCGCTTCCCCACCCACCCTACTAAGTAAGCCGTGCAGGCTCCACTCCTACCTCCGCCAAAACTCCTACCTCATAACCTATCCCCCCTCCGAGGGATCCACATTAACATTAAATCCACACAGGACACAAATAATAATAATGTACATTTCAAGTATATTTACACTACTTCAATAGTAATCACATAGTGTAGATATGATAGAGCCCAATAGGCTCAGGAACCTGTACACCTGTTGATTGACAGTTGAGAGGCGGGACCAAAGAGCCAGAGCTCAACCCCCGCAAGCACAACTAGGTGAGTACTAGGTGAGTACATAGCAACACTTCCACCACAAGCCTCAACAAACAATTGCCCCTCAAACACTACCACCCACCGACATCCTTCCATCGCAACCACCACAATTCTCCTACTCTATCCATGCCAACCCACCCAAGACCTCAACCCCAGTACCACCACACCTATAAACCACCACCCAATCTACGCCCCAAATTGGAATCAAATTCTGGAACACAAATGATGGTGCCTCAATAAAACTGCCGAGACAAAGCAGTCAAGACCAACCCGCTCTCGCACAAGACAGCACATATATGACTTATTGCTTATTCATAAGCTAAATATTGACTATAAGTACATATGTGGTATATTCTAAGTTATATATTTTTAAATACATACTGGTCTTCCTGATTTGCTATACAGAAGGTTTAAATATTAGGAATTTCTTTTTTAGTTTTATTAAACAATCGAGATTTTATACAAAATTTGACAATATCCTGAGTTACTTTACAATTTATTTAAATATGTTAGTTTTGTTTTATTATTTGTATAAAACTGTAATATCAATATAGGTATAGGTTAAGTACCAATTGTAATTAAGAGGCAATAAAATGCTTATCTTAACATACTAAGAAGGTTAGGTTAGGTCGTGGTTTTCTATTCAGCTTTTCAGGTAAACTCAAATATTCACAATAAATTAGTATATCACATATGTACTTATTCATCAGCAAAATATTGACTATACAATGAACAAATCCATGACTATAAGCAAGTGCGAGAACGGGTTGCACCCGTCCCATAAGAACTAGCATTGGCAAAGAGAAAATTTCCAGTTATAACAGGGGCGGTGTTCCTCAAGGGTGTACCAAATTGTGAGGAAGAAAAATTGCCCCCCCCCCCCCAAAAAAAAAAGGAGCAGATTGAATATAATTTTTGATAAAATAAACTTGGAGCTATGAGGAACTTTTAGTGCCAAACAACGACGGTCCAACCACTAGACCATCACGATTGTTTACTGACCAACCAACAAGAATAATCATGGTCGTATGCTACCTACCTCTGGAAGCGTACACAAACTAATACATCAGAAGCATAGGCTCGGCTGGTGAACATCAAGGACAGCCTTCAGGAACCTTTACAGGGATTTTTTAACAACACCGTAATACCGCTTAGGCCCGACCAGTCTTCACCTAGTTGTACTGATGGCGGATGAGCTACAGGTCTTAAATCCCCGTCTCTTAGCCCTTAAATACTGGTATATGTACGTTCCACAGCCTATCTGGCGCGGATACAGTTTATTGACGCTGGGAACACTGGTGAGCCCATAGTGGACTTACTTGGCACAGGAGCGGGGCTGAAACTTTTTTGGCAAAGGGTTGACTAACTCCCAGGTACCTATTTACTGCTAGATCAACAGAGGCATTCCGTGATAGGAAATGTGCTCAACCATTTCTGTCCCTCCCGGGATACGAACCCAACTGTATTATATAATGTCTCTTTGGCTCATTTGGGAACGTGTAACCCCTAGTTCGTGTACCACTCGTGCTATGAAGCGTCATTGTCTACCATGCCTGTCTTCTGGGGCTTGTGTGAGAGATGATCACGTCTGCTACGATAGTTCTTGCCTCCCGCGACGCGTGGAGGCGAGGGAAAAAGGGACAATTAAGGAGACTGAAATGTGGGAACAGACTGACGGAGCTGAATGTAATGCCATGTAAGAAATGATAGAGGGCATGATCTAGACATACGAAATACTGGTGTATATCGATGAAATAATATAACTGGAGAACAGGTATGTGGACAATACAAGCAGGTGTGCCAAAAGATCGCAAGGAAATACTTGTTCATTGTAAGGGCATTAATCAAGTGAAACAAACTAGACAGGAAAATTATCAGAGGCGATCCCCATTCACAGTTGAAATGGCAGTTATGACATACAAAGGAAGGTCGAAAGTCATTAGACGATCTAGTCAGGAAGACGGGTCCCA